TACTAGTAGCGATGCACTTGTTCCTAGTAGCTTCTTGTTACTAGTAGGTTAGCTAAACTCAAGCTGCTAAACAAAATGCGAAGCGCATGCAATGCGACTCCTTTTGTCGTGGCTGTGTTGCACTTGAGTCAGTACCACAGCCCAGAGGTCTGACAGGGCTTCGCCCGTCATTCCCCCCTTGGGAGTTGCATGTTGCGACCCCAGGACTCTGTTCTGGTCTTGAGGTCACTTCAAATGAATTCCGGAAGGAGCTTCCGGCAACCGCTCACTCAGGGCTTTACCGCCACTGCTGCCAGCCTCCAGTTTTCCAGCCTGGCTGCCAGTTCTGTTGGTGCCACTGCTGGTTCCACTCTTGGCCGTATCCGGCGGATCGCCAGTTTCTCCACTGCTCCTCAGCCCAGCTCGATCCCTGCCATTGCTGGTGGCTGTCGTAGCTCTGCCGATTCCATCGCCATTCATCTTGGTTCTGAGGGTGGCTTGGATCATCGGCTGGAGCAGCCGCTGCACTATCTTGGGGGTTGGTCCTCAAGTCAGCGGTGCGCTGGGCTCTTCTCTGCGCCCTCTCGGCCTCCTTTCTCGCAAGATAGCCGAGTTCCAAAGTGGGGGGTCTTGGATGATCCCAAGACCTCGGCATATCAGCTGGTGTGCAACCCTCCATTCGCGCGAGCTGTTGGTGATGCCTGGCCGCCCTTTGCCGCGACTTCTGTCGGATCCTCGCCTCTTCCGGCGAGAAACCCACCCGGATGTCGGCTGCGAACTTGCCTGGCTTGGTGGGCGGAGGAGCCTCGTCCGCTCGCAGCTGCAGGGACTTCAGGTACTCGGTACATCGTTGCCAGGATGAAACCCTCATCTTTGCTTTGACCTCTGCAGGCGCCCTCAGGTATGCTTCCATGCGATCACCAATCTCTTTCAGGAGATCCATCTCCTGTTGAAACTCCTCTGGAGTTCGATCGTCCTCCTGATCTCCCCAGTCAACTTCTTCTGAGGAGAAGAAAGGTGTCTCGACCGGAGCGGTCGGGCTTGATCTGGCTGGGCCAGTCGGTGGTGGGGTCCCCCCCGTCATGGCTTGATCCCTCGTCTCCTCGACCTTTGGCGCCTTGGCGGGGCTTTCTTGCAGGCGGCTCTGCCATGGGGGCATCTTCATCCCTAGTGTCTTTGCTGACAGCTCTTTTGGGCCTTGCGTAGCTCCTCGGATCTTTTCCCCTGGACGTCATAGCTTCCCAGGCGGGCGGGAAGACCATCTCGGCAAGGTTGATCCTTGGGGATCCACCGCCCAAGCAGTCTTCCCTGACTGCTGTCGGCAACGGAGTCTCGACTTCTGGGATGGGTGCTAGGGTCTTCCTCTGCTGCCTCAGCTTTTGGTTGTTGTAGTGGAAAAGGAAGCTCTTCACTGCATCCAGTGCTTTCTGGTTGAAGGCATCATTTGCTTCCTTTCGATCCCCTTGGAGACCATCCGTGGTGTTCTCCTCATCCCAGTTCTGGCTGACCTCTGGCCAATCACAACTGGTCGGATCGACCACATCATGCCAGTCATCTTCGGAGTCTGGGTCTACGTTGACCAGCACATAGTCCTGTGAAGGGTCTTCCACCCTGTCCTCATGGTCACCGGGCTCTGGTGTTCCCAACCACAGCGCAGCTGGGCTGGCCCCTTTCCGGGCTCCTTGGTCCACCTCCATGGGGGCCGCCTTGGGCCGGATATCTTGCTTGTTCTGAGTTCCTTCTCCCTGGTAAGTTTGGGGATTTCTCTCAAACAGCCCCGAGGGTCGGAAAGGCGCTCTTCTCCTTCTTCGGCATTGGGGGCCCGTAGGTCCTCCCGCATTCCTTTGGTTTGGTATGCTTGAGCGGACCGCTCGAAATGCCTGGGAGTTCCTCCTACACTTTCCTCCGGTGTTCTTGGCTCGCCTGGGGGTGTTGACCCCTTTGCCTTTGGCGGAACAAAGCTTGGTGGCGGCGCCTTCCGACCGATTGCGGTCCCTCTCTCCTCCTGTTTTGGTGGGATGAAGTCCTTGGGCGGAGGAGGTGGTGGCTTCCTCAGACCCGCTGCTCCTCCTCCCTCCTGCTTCGGCGGTAGGAAGTCGCTGGGCGGAGGAGGTGGTGGTTTTCTCAGACCAGCTTTGGGTGGCGTCTTCGCCCTGGGCAATCTCTCATCCCTTGGAGGTGGCATGTAGCCTGGGGGTTTTGGCGGCGCCCATTGGTGGTAGTTGGACGATGGGCGCGGAACCTCTGACATAGGCGGAGGTTCTGGCATGTTCTCTGCTGGGGGGAACCTCGAGGTCGGCTTTGGCGTTGGTCCTTGTGCGGTTGAACTAGCTGGACCAGCTGTAGCCGTTTGCTGCTGTGGTCCCCATCCTGTGGCAGCTGGGCCGGCTGGATCAGCCGTAGGGGCATGCGGTCTCGGGGCACTGTAGGATGGTGGGAACCTGGATGCTGGCTTGGGCTGGGTCGGTTGGTGCTCTGCCTGCGGACCCGGTGGTGGAGTAGTGGATCTCGATTCAAAGAAGTCTCGAGCTTCCCGAAAAGACGAGGAAGGCTCCCTCCTAGCCTGTTGTGCATAGCATCCCCGAGCCTGCCCTTCATCCTCGTTATTCCGGGGGTTATAGGCTCTGGTTGCCCCTGGCCTTGCTGGTGTTGCCCGGGCTACTGCTGCTGCCCTCGCCCTGGCTCTGGCGAGTTCTGCCGCCCTCTCCGCTTGCCACTGACGGAACTGCTCGGCCATCAGTGGGTCACTAAGGATATCCCTAGCGGTTGACATCCTCTTGAACTCTTCGGATTTCTCTTCCTGCTCTCCTATCGGCAAGTGGCTGAGCTTGTCTGGATGGTACGTTCTTGCCTTCATTCGGAACGCCTTGAGCACTTCGGGCGTACTGGCCCCTCGCCTGACTCCGAGGAGTCGATGCAGGTCTAGATCCGGGTTGTGTCTGAAAAAGAGGTGTGATTCCTCCAGCTTGCTAACTGGGGCCGCTTCCATGATGCAGCTTCCAGCACGTTCGCAGAAGGACACTCGTCGGTCTGGGGCCCAAGACAAAGATCTCGAGCCTAGAGTCCCACGATCGAGATCAGACCGATCTTGGTGGTTTCCAACGGGTGGACGATCGGCAGCCTGAGCCTTCTGACTAGGCAAGGTGATGACGTTGCTGCCTATCATGCCTTGGGAGATGCCTATCTGGGCTGTGTGGTCCTCATATAAATATGCATGAACGGCATCAGAGGTCCAGCCCCCGTATCTCTTCAACCTCTCAAGGTCCCCAGTAGATGCGAAGAAAGCTGTGGCCCCCCCTTTGCGGAGTGAATGAGACCCTGCAAGTTCCCCTGGGTATCCCGCAGCCAGTGCTGCCACCTTAATTAGGTGGGCTATCCCCTCTCGGTCGAGACCGGATCGGTCCGCGTACCGAAACAGCGGCTTTTCAAGCTCCGCACCTCTCCAACGATGAGGTTGTAGTGCTTGCAGTGTAGCCAAGGCCTCGACCGGACACAGATCTCCACCGGATCGGTGGTGTGAACGAGCTTGCCCACGACCGAACTGGTCCGTCTTGGAGGACCTGACTTGGATCACCACTTCATCTGCTACTGTCCCCAAACAGGCTTGACCCCCCTTATAGAAGGCAACATCGGCTGGGCGGATCGCCCGATCTAGCGGGTCTGATCCATCGCCATGCGGCAAGAGTTCACTGGCTCTCAGCATGAAGAACCACCCAGTCAACAGGGCCCCTTTAACCATGGCTTGGTCCGGTACGGTTAGACCCATTCGTTGGATGTGCTGGTTCAGCCACCTGAGCATGGTTGGGGTGACTGGGAGCTTTCTGGCTGGGGCCCCTTCCCACCTCTGCAGTCCCGCTACGGCGGACCACAGCCGTGGTTTCCCTGAGAGTGGGTCAGGGTAGCCGGCAGTAATGTGGGCATAACGGAAAGCGGACAGCCTTTGTCTGATGCCCCCTATGGAGCGTCCCATGATTTGGTGGAGGAAAACCACGAACCTGATTAGCCTCTGTTCATCTTCATACCGAGCGGAACGCTCCTCTCCTGTGAGGAACAACGGTGACTTAGCCCCACTATTAAAAAGGACCCATTGCTTCCATCCAGAAGCATAGACTCTCCTAGTGGAGTCAGCTAGTTTAGCTAGCACTGCTTCCATGCCAATGTGGTCCAGGGCCTCGATGCCTTTAAGCCTTGGGGGCCCACAGTTCCCTTTGGGGGGATGCTCCGCTTCTTCTTGTCGGTTTTTGGCTGGAGCAACCAGCTCGTGAGTGGGAGTCAGGTAGGGTTTTTTAGCTTTTCCCTTTTTGGGGGCACCGGCTTTCCAGGAGGAACCAGCATGAGTGGGGGGGGCACATAGGTTCTTTGATTTTCCAGGAGACCAGTGCCAACTCATTCGATGGTCTCTTGGGGTTTCTACCCCAAGCTCTCAGCCACACTTCAAGCTGCTCATGTGCTTGCATCTCATCAGGGTCATAGACCCCTGCTCGTGATCCCTCCCAGCGGTGCGTCGCTTGGAGCAAGCGGAAAGCTGCTTGCCAACCAGGTTCCCGTACCATGGCTTGCACAAGGTCGGAACGACCTGACGGAGGCGTTTCGTTCCACACAGCAGCTTCCCCACCTTGCATTTCCCACAGTTCTTCAGGGAGGAGTGGTCTCACATTTCCGGA